TCATTACTGTTTCTGTTTAACACGCTGCTGGAATCTGCCTTGTTTTTGTGTTGTCTGAATATTTAGACTTTTTCTTTTTGTTAAAAACTGTTGCAGACGTTGACAATATAAATAAAGTCTCTATGATTGTACTGTAAATATAACAATATCAAAATGATGTGAGCATGCGAAGGTACATATTCTAAATTAAACAATTAAAAAAGATACACAGTTTAAATGAAGGAACGTTATCATATTAATGCAAACTCTTAATAAAGTCCAGCTCACTGCTGGTCTGATGAAACCAGAGACATTAAAGAGGACTAATAATTATCTCATGATATAACTCACATAAAACCTCTTCCAGTAACCAGTAATTGGACAGTTAAAAGGATAAAAGGTGATATTTTAACTGTCTTTCTCCATCCTTTCTTCTGCTGCTCTCCATGTTCTGCCTCCTCTCTGTGTCCTTTCCCCTCATCATTCCCTTACAGGTGAATCTGCTCTATTTTTGGAGCATTACGTAAGAGATAACCTGGCAAAGGCAACCTGAGAAAGACATGCAGACAGTGCCTGAGCTCATGCTTACACACACACACACACACACACACACACAGACACTTATCAGTTATATTAAGAGGCCTGACTGTTGGTGCAGTTCCACTGATACGGGGATTTAAAGGCCAAGAACTTTTTTTTTAGCCTTTTTATGCTGATGGAGAATTTAATTCTTGACAGTTGCCTGGAAAAACCCTCAAAAACTGCATTCCAGAGGATTTAAATGTCTCCTCGTGACCAAAAATAGAATAATACAAGTACTGACGAACACTTTCTCAAATGATACGATGCTTTTAACACGAGAGAGGGTGGGATTGCTCCACTGTGTTGCCATGGAACAGATTCCAGAGTTTCTGTTTCCATTTATAGTTTCACAAACATTACTGATATAAAATAAGGTTAATAGTTACTTTAAATAATTAGGTGTGTGGTTTGGAGCTAAGGTTGGGCGAATGGAAGAAGAGTTGTTCCGATATCGATACCAGTGTCAGACATTGGTGTTTTTCCCAGGATGCCGAAGTCCTCAGCCTCCCTGCTCTGACTCTGACGGAGGGTTGACCTCCCCATACACTGCTACCAATCATACAGGCTTTGTAATATAACCCATCAAAAACACTAATATATCTAACACATGTATCAGAATCACTATCAGGAAGGAATAAAGGGATCAGAACATCACTAAATCCAGTCTGCAGCACTGATGATCTCAGCCGTCTGACAGAATTATTCATCAAACCATAAACGCTCTTCAGACTCCACTTCACTAAGTGCACATTAAATAATCACCAACTGCACTAAATACATAAATGAAGGTGATTTCATGGCCATTGCTGGATAATCCAGTCTCTGCTATATGTAGAATTATAACAAAGTTAATTTGTTTTGTCAGCTGGGCGAAATATCTCAAGCTAATGACGACGTACTGCGAGTGGAGCTGTTTCCACTCGTGTTCCAGATAAACAGTAAAATG